ACTCTTTCCTCATGAGAAACATTAGTAATATCCTTGTGTGGCTCATGGACTGGGATTGACGACTTTATTGAAGCATCATTTGTGATGTAAACTTTGAGGCCAAGCTCTCCTCTCACGCGAGAGAAGATGCCACGTTTCTCCAAGGGATAGTGCAAAACGACAGCGTCCGAATAAGGGACAAAGGAGGTTCCGGTGAGGGAGATTTTTCCAAGAAACGACCTTGTGTTTGTGGCTCTAACGTTGTTGTGAACGCAGACATCAAGAGGGAGGTAATGGAGGTTTGAAGGGTCGGAGATGTTGAAGTAGAAGCTCTCATTCCAAACCGGATTCAGATCTTTTTCTTTGATCGTCGTTCGGTATCGTTGGCCGTCGAAGAAGAGCTCGACGAAGGCGCTGGAAGAGCCTTGGCCGTCTTTGGGCAAGAGATTGTGTGCACTGATAACTTCCACTCCAAGCTTGAGGTTGTTCATGGTGATGAAAATTTGAAGTGAAGAAATGTAGAGAAATTGTGGTTAAAAAGTACCTGAAAAGCAGAGAACAAGTGTTTATGACTAAACATTAGTAAAGAAAACATAAGGGTATGAAGAACACAAATGAAAAAAAAAAAGTTGTGAAGCCTTTTTCAAGAGAAATTTTGAGGCACAAAAAGCGATTATAGTAACAGAGAAGAACCTTACTTATCATATATTCATATTGGTTCATTTGTAGAGCCAAAAATAGATGAAATAAGATATATGGGTGTTGAGTATTTGACTTTTCTTGAGAATTACTTAAAGAGAAAAAAAAAAAGTAGTTAAATCTTTTTCAAGAGCAAAATTTGAGGCATAAAAAGTAAATTAAGTAACAGAGAAGAACCTTTATTTATCATAAATTCATATTTGGTCAATTTGTTGAACCAAAAATAGATTAAGTAATAAGATCTATGAGTGTTGGTATTGAGTCAACTTGAGAATTACTAAAAATACGAGAGTTTAGACAATTTGCGTGGATTAGATCGAGTAAAAAATTAGACATAGTTCCAAGACTTCTTGTGCAGAAGCATGTGCATTACTTCCTCGTAAAAGGAAATAATGTTCAATGTGAGAAAAAAAATAAATAGATAATAAAAACTGTGTAAATATATATATATATATAACTCCATGCTTCAAGCTAAAGATCCTAAAACCCCGCTTAACACACATGGGCTCTTCTAAATAGGTGATTCCAGATGTCCACTTAAATATACAACATAGAAAAAGAGGAAAAGATGATAAGAAAAACTTAAACAATTAAGCCTCTAGTCTTTATGGGATCTGTTTGGATGTCAAGAAAATGTACCAAAAACTTTCTGAGAGATCTCTTAGCTCTATCAAACTAAGAAACTATGGACACAACAAAGAAGAACCCAAGTTACAAACCTAAATTTACGTACCAAAACCAAACTTTTCAACCAAGAGAGTACATATTTAAGTCTCAAACAGAAGAAGAAAGCAGTAAAAATAACATTAAAAGTGCAAAAACTAAAACACGTGAAGACGTGAACTAAAAGCTTTTTACCTTCTAGAAAGCTGAAACTTTCAGACTGATCACGCCATTCTCAAGAGCTCGGAAAAGATCTCCACCATGAAACAGAAAACCATGAAAGTCCAAAGTGATATGTAGAGATTAGCGAGAGAGAGAGAGAGAGAGAGAGTTTTGTTTTGTTATGGCAGAAAATTTAAGGATTGGCTCACAAAACGAGGATTGCAACTTGGATTTTATAAACTTCTCACGACAGTTTCCGCTCATGATCGACGAAAAATAAAAATATAGGTTGTTTGGTACGAGAGAAAAGAAAAAGAAAAAAAATTGAGTGAAAAATAATATATGTGGACTTTATATATTTTTTTTTATAAATGGGTAAAAAATATGATAAAAAATAAGAATAACTCATTAAAGTGAACAAAGTTATTAAATTATTATTTTCTTCATCAACATCCAAATAAAAAATTTAAAAATATAAAAATAATTTATGAATAAGATTTTTTTTTTCTCCTAATTTAATTTTCAATACCAAACAAATAAAAATAAACTCATTTTTTTTCTATCTTTTCATTTCAAACAACATAAAATAAAATTAATTTTTTTTTATTATTACTATTTTTCATCACTTCTTTATTTCATTTCTGTCTTATTTTCTTTCATTCTGCCCAACATTGCAAGCAATTTAAATGGATGGTCCTTTTCTTTCCCATTTCCATATTTCAGCTTCTCTGAAAGAGAAAATAATCAAGTGAGGGTGGTCTCATTTTGTTGGTGTGGAGCTCTACATCTGATCCCTCGTCTTGGACTCTGTGAAGATATGCGATGCTGATTTTGTACGTTGAGGATGCTAGTACTTGATAATGGCTCAGCTGCATGAAAAAAAAAAAAAAAAAAAAAGGTGAAGATTGGCAATGGCTAATTTGAACAGATTCCTCAACTAGTTTTGGACTTTCCCATTGCAGCTTAAAAAGAATAAAAATAAAAATAAAATAAAATAAAATAAAGAAAGAAAACTAGTTTTGGACTTTCCCAAGATGGTTAATTTAGGTTCTCTAATCAATCTATTAAAAGATACACTTAACGAGTTAAGCTCAAACATTAAATATGGTCACATGCAATTTAAGTGAATAAGCGCCTAACATGAAAGTGGTCTGGTTTTCGGCATTTTTGAACAAGAGTAAAAATGAGTCTAAACTCACCTAATCAAACGATGAGAAGGTCAGTTAGCACTTAGCACTATTATGCTTCAAAACACAAATAACATATAAAAGCCTAAAAAGTTGATCCCCTTTACAAAGCTTATGGTAAGAAATTTTATACACACACACATATATATATATATATATATATGAATTCTGTTGCTAAAGTTTATATGAAATTAATTCATATATTCCCTTAAACAAAATGAATTCATCTAGGAATTATAAACTCAAGTAACAATATATACTATTACAAGTGGGGCAAAAGGTTAATGGTTTCTTTTTTATTACTCTTTTTCCTAAGAGATAAATTCCATTGCCAAGGTTGGTCCAAGTCTTTAATGGTTAAGTTTTGACAACGACCGTTACGAGAGAGAGAGAGAGAGAGAGAGAGAGAGAGAGAGAGAGAGAGAGAGAGAGAGAGAGAGAGAGAGGGAGAGAAGAGATAGGGACAACACTTGTAAATATTGCCCAAATCAGGCAATTGTATTTATAAGATAGCGACAACACTTTTAAATATTGCCCAAATCAGGCAATTATAAATACAAATAACATAATTTGCAACACATACCAAATTACGCTAAGGATCAATCTTCATGCAAAGTAACACAGCATATATATTATGTGTTTAGTTCATAACATAACGTACCTTAATTAAACTAAGGAACCATATATTAGTCCTAACGCTTATTTATTGGGTCCCGCTTTTTTTCTCTGAAATTTATTAGGTTCTTTATGTAGTCCCATCACTGCATGACGTACAAGTAATCTATTGCCCGTGTTAGGATAATCGCATGCAAAAGAATGATAATAATATTAAGATGACGTTTGGTTTATATATTCAGAATCATAATTTAGAATTATTTTTATTTTATGTGTATTTTTTATGAAAAAAAATACTGTAAAGAATCATGAATCATGATTCAAAATTAATGACGAATAGAGAAAATAAATGTCCCCTAAGTTATTCATGATTAATGTTAGATGCAGGAAATACAATGTGACAATACACTTGTCATTATCTAATTAATAAACACTATATAGATAATAATAATTTAGATATATTTTACGAATAAATTCGAAACATCTATGAAATGGTTTATCACAGTGCAGTGCATAATTATATTTGAAGTTTGTTCATTGCAAGTGTGTCTTACCGTGATGCATGTTTATCAATATTAAATTTAATCGAAATCATATCAAAAATAAATATACGAAACTGACATAATACAATAATACAATAAAGACCAGGTTAAGAGAAAGCTCTAAAAAATCTCAATAATATTATTCAAGTAATGGACACAACCTAAATGGAATATCTTTTGGTTTTCGCACGTATACAATGCATGAGAATATCGCATTAAACCATAAATTATGACTCGAATTGAATGGAATGAGCCAGGATAGATATCTTGAGAGACATGGGTGGTGGGGTCAATGACTCGGGTTGAGGTAACGTTTAGTTTATTGATTTATAATTATAATTTTTAAAATTTTAATTTTTTTATGAGAAAAATATTATAACAGAATTATAAATTATGATTTTAAATTAATTCTGTTTATTTTATCGATTTAAATTTAAATTTTAAATTTTGTTACAGTAAAAAATTTTTAAAAACAGTCACATTTAATTTTTTTATTATAGTAAAAAATTCTCATATAAAATTACATCTCAATTTAAATTAAAAACTCAAATTAACAAACTAAACGGATTAAAAATCTTTCCAACAAACATGACATTTAAGTAGGGGTAGCAATTCGTGTCACGTGTCATTTTTTGATCGTTTCTTTCTAAATTTGCAGTCAATCCGAACACGACTTGTGACACGAAATTTTTTAAAAACCGCAACACGACCACTTTACGAATTGACACGACACGACCTGAAATGACCCGTGACACGAAATTGACCCGTGAACCCGAAATTGACACAAAAATTGTATACTTTTATTTAGTTTTTTACATATTAAAAATAACTTAAAATTCATAACACACTAAATTACAATAACATCCATTGAAATTAAGCAAATAATAGTATAAGATTTTGAGTATAACTATCATGATATCACAAGTTTATAATAAAATTTAAAATATGAAATGAAAAATATATGTATTTTTTAGTTTTTTACGAGTTTCGTGTCGTGTTCGGGTTAGGCGGGTCCAACCCGAAATTGATACGTGTTTTTCGTGTCAATTTTAAGTCGACCCAATTCTGACCCGAACATCTTTTTTTTCAATCTTAACCCGTAAAATTTATGTCGTTTTCAAGTCGTGTCATCGTATCATAACTCATATTACTGGCCCTACCTTTTAAGTCAGATATCAGATCGTACTACACAAGATCAGTGTGAATGAGAGAGACCTCACGATCCCTCCACGTGTCCACAATTGACCCACAGGTTACAGTCAACTCTTCTCTTCTTTTCTTTTTTTTTTTGAATATATATTTTATGTTTTCTAGTCACCGCGGTCAGTCACATGGGCCCACATGAAATGTTTTCCTCTGACGTCGAGGCTCTCTCCATCATACATTGATTGATTGGTCAATTTAATGCACTTTCAGAAGTTTCAGGTTCCGACTTCTGAATAACTACTACCACTTTACACCTTTGGACAGTATGGGAAAACGATGTCGTTTTATAGGTGCTAACAATGTTTGGACTTGGGCCGTCAAATTGACTCTGAAGTTGGGCTTTCTACGCAAGCCCAGTCCAGTCCAACATGCCGAAAATGCCGCGAAAAGTTTCTTGCCAGGTTTTTTTTTTTTTTTTTTTTTTTTTTTTTTTTTGGGAGTTTTTGTTGGAGCAAAACTCCCTTGCCACTTGCCAGTTGCCTCCATGACGTTAGTAAGTATATAAATTAAATAAAGAAAATAAAGATAAGATCGTGTTTTTTCGGGGAAAAAAAAGATAAGATTTTGTAGGAGATAGTCGGAAGCACCGTCACTGAGATATCAATCTCAGCGAGTTTTGAGTGTCGTTGGAGAGAGAAACAGAGGAAAATTGGAAAAAGAAGGAGAATTTGTGGGAAATAAACGAAAGAGAGAGGAAAAAATGAAGCTCAAAGTATACGCTGATAGAATGTCCCAACCATCTCGTGCAGTTCTAATCTTCTGCAAGTAATTTCCATTTTTTTTTTCTGGTCATTTAAATTCTGGGGTTTTCTTCATTTTTTGTTCTATTATGCTTTGTTAATATAATTTATTTGTTTATTTATTTTATATTTTAAAGGGTAAATGGTATAGAATTTGAGGAGGTCAGAATAGACATATCCAAGCGTCAACAATTGTCTCCCGAGTACAAAGGTATATTCCTTTAATGATTACAAAACTGAAATAAAAATCTGATTTTGTGATCTGGGTTTCGAAATATATTTTTGTTTCTTGTGCTTAACATTAGTAATTCAGAGACCCATTAATCTGGAAGTAAAGATTTTTCATTTTGGAATTGTGAATATATCTGTGATAGAATAGACAACATAAAATAACATAACATGGGCAAGAAGAATGAAATCTGAGATGACAATCAATGACAGAGCTGTAGAGAATGTAAAAAATGAATGAAGAAAAGGGCTCTGTTTTAGCTCATTTATGAAACTACAGTATAATCTTGATTTTAACTATTTGGTATGAGGGTATAAAGAACCCGAGGGATGTTGTCTTCACTTTGATTCTTGATATTTACATAAGCATTTTCTTTCTTCCTTTCTTATATGACTTCAGAAATAAATCCTATGGGACAAGTTCCTGCTATTGTTGATGGAAGATTTAAGCTGTTTGAAAGGTGATTCCTTTTGTTCCTTACTTGAGCTTCTGAATTTGTCATAATGTTCCAGGTGGTTATCACTATTGTATATTTTTCTAGCATATTATACTAGGATTGCCTAATAAGCAGGAATTAGAGCATAAGGGCACAAAAGCCCCCCTTTTTGTTTTCTTTAAATTGTTTAAGTTGCCTTTTGGCGCTTTAGCCACACACACGCATACACACAAAAAGGTTGCCTATTTGGTGAGTTAGTACCTTTCATTGTTTCTTCGCTTTTTCATATTCAAGAAGAAAAGTAATTAGAATGAGAGGTGTTAAGCTTTTTGTCATCCTGGCAACGAGCTAATTTTCCGGAGGACTTTCCCTA